GCTGGTGAAGCCATTGCGAGCATTGCTGAAAATGCTGGAGGTTTGAGTTCACTTTTGCTTGCTGTAGTTAATCATTTCAGTGCTACAAAAAAAAGGAACTCCTTCCTCATGGTTGTTGCTAATTATATTCATACAATGTTCTGGGAAGTTGGAATACTAAGACTGGTTCAAAAGGTAAATTATGTAGAGTTTGGATATAAATTTAACATGATTGAAAGTCTTCCAAAAGCTGGGACCTGAAGATAATAGAGTATTATGATTAACATGATATTGCAACCGTCTTGTCACTTAAAGTGCTTTTAAAGATGAATAATACTCAATGTTTAAGTGTACATCAAATCTGTACAATACTTGTTTGTTCAGGCAAGGATATCCAGCAAAATGCAGAAAAACATGGAAATGGATCTTGAAATCGATGACGATTGAATAGGAAGATGGAAAGGCTCAAGAGGCTATTAGGCCTAATACAGTTTGCATGCCCCATCGCGTAAAGATACAGTGCTCTGGAAAGAATGTAAAGGAGAGCAATTAGTATGAATCAGGCTTAGTTTCAGATCCAAGAGCTTAGAGAATAGAATGTAGTCCTCAATTGGATCCTTTTCGTCAGATCAAAAAAATATGAGGCAAGAATATTACGTAAATACTTAAATCGTGAAAGGAAAAGACAAGACACAAATTAGTAAACTGTTAATCTGAATCTGTAGCCAAAAACAAGAGGAGACAATGGCACCATGTGAAAATAAAACAAGTTTAACACTGAACTTAGTCAAGGTATCTTTTGGATAAAATGAGATGCGTGAAATAGATTACAGTGATTGGGGTAATGCATGATAGTTGAAATGGGTGACTGTTTATTTAAGGCAAGAAACTATCGGGATTGATGACAGAGGGATATTTATTTGGTAGCGATCTTTCTTCTTGATTAGGAGGATGAGAACTCAAATCCCAAGTCAAGGAATGCAAGATTTCACCAAATATAGATAGTTACCTCCTTGTAGTAAGTGCAGAACGCAGCATTATTTATAGAAAACATGAAACTAAGGTTCCATTTCCAGCCTTGATTGATCGTAAAATGAGTTCCACAGTTCTGATTATAGAGGAGTAAACAGTAAGGTCCAGAGTCATGATCAGGTGCATTTCCCTGCAGATTTCGATGAAGTTTCATTGAAATGTGTGGCTAAAGGTCGAAATGTTAATGCTACACATGCCACAATCCCTCCACACACCACAAACTGGCAAAGGAACTATCATTCAAGTTACTCATGCCCATTCCTTCCATTGCAGGTGGCACAACAACTCTGTGCTGTCTGTAAACTTGCATGAATGATGTGTGCAGTCAGTGCTAAAACATACTGTTCAGTCACCCGCATTCTCAGCAGAGGGGCCAAGTTTGCATGAGGCTTGCACCACCCATAGCTAGCTTGGATTGTTTAAAATATAGGTGAATTTCCAGCTGGAGTTGGTACTGGAACTATTTGTGGAATAAAGTCAGAGATGGGAAGGAGTGAACTATGGTGCAACAGTGAAGACAGCAGTTGAAAACATCCTCTAATGTTGCATAGATGCAGTGAGGATGGCAAATCATACTTACAAAGGTGTATTGGGCCTTTGAAATAAACTTAGTGAAGGCGGTACGACTAACCTGATGTAGAGAACAATGCCATGAGCCAAGTTCCAATACCGCATACTGCATAAAGGAATATATTATAAAAAATTAAATATTGCTTTATTTGATTTGAATATCACATTGATAGACTCACTCAGAGAGAGTGAGAGAGTTTTTAACAGTGAGTGCAGAAGTATAATTCTAATGCTGTAATTTCAGGGTTAAGATGTCAGCAATGACATATTTTCTGAAACTCAAAGAAATTACTGCCAGATATCCATCATTCTCCAGATAATTGCCTCAATATGTGTTTCAAGAGCAGTTTGTAATGTTCAGTGATACACAGGAAGTCATTCTAAAACTGTGATAATTATAAATGCTGTTGACTTGGTTCAAACCAGCAAATGATGCATTCACTTGTGTGGTTTATGTTAATATGCTTTCCACATCAGCAGACCGTTTCGACTCTCAAGGTTCCTGACACCCATTCCCTGTGAATTTCTACTGAGCCAACACAACAAAGATATCTTGCAGTGATATTGATAGCATATTAAAACACAAGAGTACAAGCAGCTGCAACCTTGTTACTGGGAGAGGACATTTTCAGATGACTCATCTTGTTTCAGTATTATCAAGGCAGAAAGAAGCAGCTGTTTGAAGTATAAAGGCAGCCTACCTTGCAGATATACACAGAGGCGATACATTTCTACAAATTATAAAGGGTTATCTCATCTGAAAAACAATTAATCTTCACACTAATGGCATCAACAGCATTCTAAACAATAATAACCAAACTATATTGAGTAGCTTAGTAGTAAAAACATTAGCGTAGTGATTATGTTATTAGGATAGTACTTCAGAGAAGGCAAGATCACACATCACCAAAGCATGTTGAGATTTTCGATTTTCTTTTAAATTAAAAAATAGAGCTACTAACTGTAAAATTGACCATGAAGCTATGTGATGAATGTAAAAGCAACATTCGTTTGCTGTTGTCCTTTAAGGAGATAAACCTGTCATCTTTACTCGGCCTGACACCTATGTAATTTAAGTGTTATTCAAAGTGGCCTCAAAAGACATTGGTTGCATCAAGGTCCATTGCATCTCTCAGAACAGCTACAGCAATAAGTGCCAATCATTCCAGTGACATCCGCACCCTGTGAAGAATTATTATTTCAATCTGACTAAGTGCACTGACCGAAGGTAGTAGAGGCAGCCTGCTGCAGTTGACTGGCATGCAATGCTAATCACTGCATCCATGTGGGTGGATACATCCTGCCACCATTCTTTTTTCTGCCTGGGTCTACTGGACCTACTTGGTCTAAATTGGATGAGGAAAACCATTGGGGAATCTCATGAGAAACAGTACTTGTCTTATGTGAGATGCATTTGATTGGACAAGAGCAATCACATATATTTACATTAGTGAGATAGATCTTGTAACTGAGAATATGAGGAGACTTGAATGGTCTACCAGTCTTCCTCAAATTCTGAGCTGTTCTGTCCCTTTCCACCTAAAGTCCTTATGGCATCATCAGATTGGGTGGATCTTAATGGAGTCTTCAGCATTAACCCTTTAGGGACTATTACCTTATGCAACAGACCCGAGGATACTAGCAACAGTAAGAACTATTAGGATTCTTACTCGCTGAAGATGTGCGCATATTGTGTGGGAATCAGACCAGATTCTGCACCATACTATCCACACTGTTGTCAAGACTCACAAAATGACAATACCTGCTTAGGTAATCTACAGAAATACTTGTAGAAATTGAAAGGTAGAACCTTCCCCAAAATATAAAATCACCAGATTTAAATACCCCCAAACCATGGACATAATCTCGAAGTGTAAAACATGTATAGGCCAAACCTCAACACAACATACAGAGGTGAGCTATACAGATATGAAGCAGCTAATTGTAACGTTGACAAAATTTCGAGATGAACTCTGACTCATTGAAAAACTGGAAGGAACATTTATCACAATTGCTGATGGCTAATGCAATTAGAGGCCTGGAACAGCCATAATCATAAACAACAGTGCAGAAAGAGCATTCATACATCACTCAATGGCCTTGTCATATGAGGAGCAGTTGCGGACTCTGGGTCTGTAATCAGTCAAGTTTAGAAGGATGAGGGGGAATCTTATTGAAACTTACAGAATCCTGAATAAAGTGAATTTGAGGAAGATGTTTCTACAATTAGAACCAACTAGGACCTGAGAGCACAGCCTCAGAGTGAAGGGACGATCCTTCAGAGCTCAGATGAGGAGAATTTCTTCAGCAGAGGGTGGTGAGTCTGTGGAGCTCATTGCCACAGAGGGCTGTAGAAGTCAGTGCATTGAGTGTATTTAAGACAGAAATAGATAAGTTCTTGATTGGTAAGGAGATCAAAGATTACAGGGAGAAGGCAGGAGAATGGGATTGAGAAAAACATTAGCCATGATTGAATGGTGGAGCAGATTCGATTAAGTCTTAATTAAGCCAAAGGCTTAATTCTGCACCTATATTTAATGGTCTTATGATCAAATCCTGAAGCCAGGGATAATCCACAATGGGCTATGGATTCTCTTGTGAAACAACATTATGTCCACGCAGTCCTGTGTAGACCGAGGATTAAACGAAGGACTACAGGAGATGTTAAACACCAGATGAGACAGCAGGATGGCAGCAGGAGATATATTTATGATATGAATCATCATAAAAGGAGGATAGCACCAAAATACGTTTACTGCAGTCAGGAGGAGGAATTTGGAGACTAGTCATTTCTGGATCCAGATCTAAATTCAACACGAGTAACAACCAGCTGTGTTGGCAATTCTAAGTTTTAGTCAAATTGTAGAGCAGTATGTATTGAGAGAGTTCTTAAGTTGCATTCAAATTGCAGAGGGTTTAGAACTTGTGTCAGTTTCAGTCAATCTTTTCTAGAATTTCACAGAAGTCCCCAAACCAGACACAGGAGGCTTCATCCTGGAGAGGGAATCATGTGAATTCAATAAACAGACAAATTTGAGATTCAACCAAACTCTGTCATGCACCTTTCGTTCTTGAAGCTCAAGAACTGTCGTGCGGGATTGCAGGGAGGGAATGAAATTCATACTAAGTGTAGCTAACAGCAACTGTCAAAGTCTGTGGCTAAAATCAATGAAGAAAATGACATTATGTCTGTGAGTTTCTACTTAGATTGCTGTTGTATGAAATTTGCCGACAATTAAAGAATTCATGCATTTATATACTGCCTTTTTAGACCACAGAACATTACAACTACTTCACAGAGTAGTCAGTAATGTATGAAATGCAGCAGCCAATGTCAATCCAAGTGCGTAGGGACAATATTCTGATTGCATGACACACTCAATTCCTCTTTCCATGCAGTCACAACATTCATATATTACCTTTACATTTGCCTCCAGGTAGTTGTACAGCACATTGACCGAAATGGTGAGGTCACCTGTGTTGAATGGGTAAGACCGATTCCAACCCTGAGGCCCAAATTTGCGTCTCTCTGCCACAACTGCATGAAAATAGCAAAGAGCAAAGAGAATGCTCTTGAACTCATTCTCACGAGCACACATCTCCAATGTGTCCTGGAAGATAAAAAACACCAATACAACTCGCTGGAGATGGAACACTTGCCAGTAATTTATTTTTTTGCCTACTCAGCAAATCATAGACTTGGCTTTAATAGATATGTGGACATACTTTAGCCTAATGCAGTCAAGTTCAAGTGGCACCTCCTCTGAAAGATACAAATTATTTTGCATATGTATTTTTCAAACAGCTTTACAGCAACATATAATTAATCATTTTATAATGAGTTCGAGGAAAGAATTATTTTACCCTTTTCAGAGTTAGTTACAGGTAGCAAGCTTTTACCTAATTTGAGACAATAATGACAACATGAAATTTCAGTCTGTTCAACCACCTGTAAAATGTAAACTTGCTCTTAAACTTTGAGATTTTTTTCTTGATTCCAGGATTGAAGTGGAGGAAACCTGCTGCCTGAGTAACAAGTCACAAATATCAACCAAACAAAATGCAATATCTTCACTTCTAATTTTTTTTAAAAATTAGAGTTATGTTACCTTCTTCCTAGCGTCAGCATGTATTCAAAAGAGAAAAAAATATATAAGGCTATCAATGGAAACTAAATTCAAATGCACACATTGGCATCTCATTTATAGCATTCAATATGAACCTAGCAGCTCTCAAAAATGAGGAAATAAAGATCTATGTTTTGGCAACTTTTCTTAGTCAAAATAAAAATCAAAGCAATAAAAATCTCAACTTCCAAAGCAGCTGGATTAAGGGTCTAGGCCCGAAACGTCAGCCTTCCTGCTCGGCCTGCTGTGTTCATCCAGCTCTGCACCTTGTTATCTCAGATTGAATGTACTTCTCAGAGAATAAAATGCTAAACAAATACATACAGTCACCAGTATATCCTGAGTTAGCATAGGGATCCTGTTCCCTCTAGGCAGAGAATAAAAAAGCAGTGAGGTTATTCGTCCTGCTCACGGAGTGGTAGCTCATGAGGATAAATGTGTATGCGTACACAGGATCAGATTTGGTTCTAAGATTTAATACAGTGTCAGAACCCAATATTGAGGTTCTCAGAACAGAGATATAGGACACTGGAGGATACATGCTTCTGTGAAACCATCTAGCACAAGTCAGTACTATTAGGAGAGTGGGTGAGAGAACTGGAAGGTCAACCATTAAGTAAGGAGGAACAAAACTCAGAAGGAGTAAAACAAGGAGAATGGATATTTTGTCCTCAAACGTTATCTGTTCACTGCATCAAACTTCAATTGTGAAAAAAGTCATCATTGTTCATTAGGGCACATAAAACTGTACAATGCTCTTAATGGAAGTAAAGCAATACAAGTCATAACATGAAATTGACAGAGTCTCAAATGTAGTGATGTGCATTGTCACACTGCTAGTCACATTTAACATTGTCACATTCTTTCAAGCACTGATACAATGGAGTGTCATTGCACTAATTTAACATTTTAATACTGTGGAATATGTTTGCTACTGCTAATCATATTGACATGATTAGATGAGTTCTCTGAAGCGCGTAGTGATGAGATGTAATGATGTTGTGATTTCTGGGGCAAATAAAATAGATAATAGTGTTCAGTAAAGTGCTTTTATTCTAGAATCTCAAATTAAGCAGAAAGGAATCACTTTTGCAATCAGGCAAGAAAAAGATTTACAGTACGTAAACTCGTAAATACCTGATTGAAATTATCCAGAGACTTGTGCAAGTTGGCATGCATCCCTGTTGGTGGTTCATTGGTGATCTTGATGGAGTTTTCCAGGATCCCCTGAGGGATGATGTGGCCCTCAGGTGAGGGAGCTGGTTCTGCACTGATGAAGACACGGAAGTTCTCGTGGCTGCCCTCGCTATGCTGCTCCATTTTCTTCTCCAGAATACTCAGCCACTTCGCCACCAGGTGGATATTCTGAACAAGAACAAGTTGAGTAAGCTGATGGGAATTTAAAGTTAATATTTGCATAGCTAATGAAAATGAGGCAGCTACACTGATGCTAGCTCAGGTTTCCCTGGTATTCTGTTAACATGTACAGTTTACAGTTGGTTCATTTGGACACTGGAGAAAAGGACTGATTTCAAACTGCCCAGCTAATTACCTATTTGAACAATGCTGACAGACTGCCGTACAAATAGGATGTCACTAAAAACAAGCATTTTAAGGTATATCTTGCCGAGCATTTCTTATATCTTTTCCTTGCCATTTCTCTTATCCCTGCCGTGTTGCTCTTGAACCTTCACCTTGGCCTGTGCTGACTAACTGCAGGTCAAGAATGAATAAATTTTCAACGTCTGATCTTCAACCAAATACCAGAGCCACCAAAACTGAACAATCTCTCCAGGAGAGGCTTTAAGTCACAGACCATTTAGTTAAGAGTTTGCCTTCACAAAAAATCAAACCTATCCTACAGCTCCAAATTACATCATTACTTATGCTGGAGGTGAAAGCCAAGTTTCATTAACATATTCTTTTCTCAGCTATTTTTTTCTCTCACCTATTTCTGCATTCTTTATTTGACTTGATAGTGTATCTGACTAATGGATGAGAGCATATTTTACTTGTGAGAATACTAGAGAAAAGAGAAACAGTGAAGTAAGACCACACATTCCCCATCCCATAAAGCTATATACCACAGGAAAACTGTCAAAAGTACCTGGTCTCAATCTTTATATATTGGAGAAGGTGCTCAGCACCAGATTACAGCCATTTAGTGAAGCAGACACAGAACTTCCCCTTGATAGTGTGTTAATTAACAAGATAAAATCTTATTGATTTCTGCCTCCTAACTACACCCCCCACTGTCCCAGCAGCATGTTTTTATACACACTTGAGCACTCAGGTAGTCAAATAAACAAAGACTCAGCCGCTTAAAGCAATATTGTAAAAAAAGATTAAAGGAAATATATTTTCGTTAAGAAATTTTGCTCAAGAAGGATGTCTCCTATGTATAGCAAGATAGTTCTCAATTTGGTTCTCCTGAGCAGGCTCCGTTAGCAAAATTTTGATTACTGCAATACTACCACTCCAGGAAAGACACAAAGTTTGAAGTACTGCTATTGGTTCAAGGGCCTGTCATCTGTACCAGCAGACAATTCCAATATAGAACGCAAGACATTAACTCTGATACGTGGTATCATCGGGTTTCATACCTACTTATTTGAGTAGACATTTATAAGTCACTGGGGATGTGCTGCAGGAAACTACTTACGAGTGCACTGCCGTGTTTCTGATATTTATTTGTTAAGGTGCAAGGATATGATTTTGACGCGAATTATAAGCTGGGTAATAAGATGATTATGTCTGACACACTGAGCACATTACCCAACCCACACAAAGACCATTATATTCACTTTATCTATGCACTGACACTCCAGGCTACAAAGTTGAAGATTTTCTAACGGTTGATCTAGTATGCTTCGTTTGGAAACAGTATGAACAGTTCCAATCTGCAGCTACTGAAGATGAGCAATGACATAAATTGCAAAAGATCATTATCCAAGGATGGCCTGATAGTATGAAAGAAGTACCTGATAATATTTGTTCATTTTGACCTTACATAAACAAATCTGGCATATCACAATAAGTCATTTTCAAGGAAAGCGAAGTCCTAATACTAAAAGCATCACACTACGATATTGTGTCTAAGTTACATCAAGGATACATGGGCATTGAATGCCCAAGACAATTGCCAACACATGCCTGTATAAAACTACATATATCTGTTTGGGATTATCTTTAGCCTTTGGGAAAAGGGGGCTGTTATGTTATGTGCTACTGTCAGTATGTCAATATACCTTTATGAGACACGGTATGTCAACATACATCAAAAAGACATGCTTTAGATATCATCATAGCGTCATAGCAAGTGATCTAAGGATACAAAGGTCTCAGATACCATTTTAAACTCAGATCACTTGAAGCATGTCAAACTAGTGAAAACATGTTGCTCTGTTGCAAACAAATAGCCTAATACTAGCTCAGACATTTATGTTTCTGTGGATGTAACATTTCTACATAACAGCCAGCTGTAATAAATGTCTGTTGGATCTTTCAATACCATATTATCTGTAGCTAGTTTCTTAGGTTATGAGGGGTAGATCAGCATTGTCATGTCAAATAGAATATCGTTTTGGAGGCAAAACCCACATCAATGGAGTGCAAAAAGCTGAACCTTTTCAAAGACAGGGTATATATAATACCATCTACCTCCTTTTCAAGAGAACATTTAACTATTTTCAATAGTCAGCGAATCTGTGAGGCAAAACTCACATCAATGGAGTGCACAAAGGTGATCCATTTCCAAGACAGGGTACACATACACCAGCTACCTCCTTTTCAAAAGAATGTTTAACTATTTTCAATAGTCAGTGACTCTATGAGTCTCTACAACGTATAGGTGATTAGTGATAAATTCAGGTCTCATGGTGATAAATTTATCTAGAAGTGCATTGATTGCCACAGATCAGTGACATGATCTGTCAGTCCTCCTTGTGTTGTTTTTCCTTCATGGACTGCAGTGCTGTCTCAGAGTTCGCTAATGCTCTACAGCCAAGTGTTATTCCAAATTAACTACTAATTAATCTTGTTTCTTAAAGATTTTTTGAATGGTTCAAATCTTTTTGGAATTTAGTATTTTGTTCATTAACTGTTTTCAGCTCATTGTGGAGCTTCCAGATTTATACGCTTGGCTGTTCTCATTCTGTCAACATTTTAGCCTTCTGTTGTTCCAATATATTTCCTCCCTCATAATTTGCTCTGATAGCTGTCCAGCTTCTTCATCTTTCCTTTCTCTTTTGGTTTTCGAGGAAGCCTGAGTATTTTCCATATTCTACTTTAGTGTTTGTTTGGTTTCCTCTATGTACTACAAACATAGAATCCCTACAGTGCAGATAAAGGCCATTCAACTCATTGAGGCTGCACTGACCCTCTGAAGTCATCCCATCCAAACCTACCTTCATCCCCAAAAGCCACACATTTTCCATGGCTAATAACCCTAGCCTGCACATCCCTGGACACTATGGGCTATTTATCATGGCCAATCCACCTGACCTGTGCATCTTTGGACTGTGGAGGGAAACCAGAGCAGGCAGACGAAATCCACGCAGATACAGTGAGAATGTGCAAACTCCACACAAACACTTGACCAAGAGTGGAATTGAACCTAGGTCCCTGACGCTGTGAGGCAGCAAAGCTAACCATTGAGCGACACATCCTGCTCGAGTTCTTTCATTAGAACATCATTGTTAGCATTTATTTCTGAAAGGATTATCTCATCAATAATTTGTTGTGCGAACTGTGCACCTCCACCTAGTTTTGGAAGGTGTCTAATTTTCTCTACTATTGCCTTGAGCTCAAGCCAGTGATTTGGTTTTAGAAGTTTGTTAACAGGATATGGGAATCACTGGCTGGACCAGCTTTTACTGTCCATCCCAAATTGCTCAGAAGGCAGTTAAGAGTCAACAACATTGTTATGGGTTTGCAGTCACATGTAGGCCAGACCGGGTAAAGATGGCAGTTTCCTCTCCGAAAGGGCATTTGTGAACCAACAGCTTCTGAAGCCTCTCCTGCTGCACATCATTAGTTTTGTGTGAGTAGCTCCAGATTTTCTGGCAATGGTTTTATTGAATTAATAAAAGAGAGCATGTGGTTCATCTTGCTAACTTTCTTTTTTGTTCAGCTCTTCATTCACCTTTGTGACCTGAGAGGAGGTATCTCCTGAAAATATCATTTGCAGATGGTTTTCTCTAGTTTAGACTTATTCTCAGCTACTCGTTCAGCAATTTTTCCTCTTTCTGTTTCATCTTTCTCTTCACGGCAGAGAATCAAGATCTTAACTCTCCTAATTCAGAAGGAAATGAAGTGTTCCATTCTTCTTCCATACTTAAACAGAAATTGCAGGAAAAGCTCAGCAGGTCTGGCAGCATCTGGGGAGAGAAATCAGAGTTAAGGTTTCGGGTCAAGAGATCCTTCCTCAGAACTGTGGAAGTTCTGGAGAAGGGTCACTCGACCCGAAACCTTAACTCTGATTTCTCTCCACAGATGCTGCCAGACCTGCTGAGCTTTTCCTGCAATTTTGATTCTGATTTACAGCATCAGTTCTTTCAGTTTTTCTTTCATAGTTAATTCTGTAAGTGTTTCTTGAGCAGTTGCTGCAGACTCCGCTGCTTCTCTGATGTTTGACTGATTATAAGACGATAAGACATAACAGAAATAGGCCATTCAGCCGATCTGGTCTGCTCCACCATTTAATGAGATCGAGGCTGATCTAATAATCCACAACTCCACCTTCCTGCCTTTTCCCCTTAACCCTTGATTCCCTTGTTAATTAAAAAGCTGCCTATCTCAGCCTTGAGTATTCTTAATGGCCCAGCCTCATCAGCTCTCTCTGGCAAAGAATTCTATAGATTTACCACATTCAGAGAAGAAACCCCTCCTCATTTCTGTCTTATATGTGCTACCTCCTTACTCTGAAATTATTTTCCCTGGTCCTAGACTCTCCCACAAGGGGAAACAATCTTCCTACATCTACCCTGTCAAGTCCTTTAAGAATTTTATATGTTTTAATCAGGTCACCTCTCACTCTCCTATTTTCCAATGAGTACAGACCCATTATTCCAGCACACATGCTCATGAATAATGATTACTGCAAGGTCACAGCATGATTGTATATCTGCAATTGCTGTTTTTCTTTTCAAAACTTGCTGCCACTTTTAGACATCTTCTTATCATCCGCTCAGGCATATTGTTACACACCTCTGGTGCTGGTTCCTGTTCAGAGGTAGGGACATTGCCAGTGTGCCACAATAGCCTTTCTGCAATAGCTGGTCCAGCAATGTTTATGACGTACAATATCTGCCACATCCAGGCACATGGATTGTACTTCGATTCCTGCATATGGAATGAGTGAACCA